AAGTAATTTATTTGTTAATTTGCATCTTTACCCCTTTGTACTAAAATTGCCATATACTCTTTTCAAATTATCCTAACACGTCTAATCAACTTGTATGTATAGTTGACTGTATGTAAACCTTCCGTGCGTAGATGGATACTTATTTGCACTCATTATTGTTTATGTAGAAATGAGCAGCTATGCAAGTAAAGTCATAATATTGAACATTTTTTAATTTTGTATTTTCGACTGTCTAGATTTTAAGTGTTTTCACATAAATAGAGAGTTAAAATTGTTGTGTTCATTAATAAGCCATATATAGGAATAATTTGTCTTCATAAAATAAAATGAATGAATGAAAACCGGATATCTTTTTATAATATACAAATTAACAGAAAGTGGAATCTCTCTTGGAACGCAAATCGCATAACAAACTCTCGCTTTTCTCGGTAACTGCTGATATCAATTACAAACATATACATATGAAACCATGTATAATCCCAACATAGACATTTTTAATCACCATGCATCTCAAATGTCACAAATTAGCACAAAAATAATTAGTTTTGCAGCAAGAATCCGAACAATTCCTAAATGAAAAGTAAAATAATATTTTTTGAAAATCCATAGTATGCACACATTGATTATCTATCATTCAGAATGTGTGGTTAGAAAGTGAATACAAAAAGGCAAAACTTGAAAAATAATTGTAATAATGTTTTACCTGGCTGACTTTTTTACTTCTAAGATGATGATTTACAATCAGTATGATGCGAACATAGAGAACCATCATAATAAGCCAGGGTGCCAGGCTATTGGTAGCTGTCACTAGTATAAGATGCCATGCTTCATCGAAACTCTCGTATCTACAGACTCCATAGAAACTATCTAAAAAGAAACATTACATTATGATGGCTACTATGATATATGCGAATAAACTGAATCGCAATAGACAAAACATTGAGTGTGGACATTCGGCCTAGGAAGATACAGATCCGTCAAAAATCTGTTTAAGCACTTTTTTACAAGTCTTGTAGTTTACGGTAGAAATTAAATAAACTTTCTTTTTTCACAAAGTATTTGGAAATCGTCAATTCTCGTGTCTGTCCGTCTTTCGGTCTTTCTTTCTCTGGCAACGTACACATTTTCTAGGGACACACGAAATCACGAAGATGCATGGTTTGAGAATCTCGAACCGAGTAACCAGCATGTTTGAGATTTTACGTGGAAGGGTTGAATTTAATACCAGATCCTCTCGAGTGTAAAGTGACGTGCCATCACTGACACGTCACGTGCCACCACTGCTGTATAAACGTTTGATTTCCAATACCACCATAAAGTCATTATAAACATGGCGCTGAATTGAGGATGATTATTTTCATCGCTATATCTGATCTCCATTGTAAGTGGTACACATCTTAAATTTTAAACATAAAACTTAAATGTTAAACATAAACCGATAACATTGTTTATGGATATTTAATTTCCCGACTTTGTTTGTTAATTTCGTGAAATTTACACTTTATTCCACAAACTTTAGAAAACGTGCGTGCGATGTCGATTTCACATTGAGTGTTAATTACCTGGTTCACTTTTGATATTTATTATGACTCCAAACGATATTGACAGTATCCATATAACTGCAATTGCTATCAGTGATCGTCGCTTCGTTACTCGTGTTTTATACTTCAATGGATCCGAGACGGCAATATATCGCAGTGTTGTTATGGCAACAAGATTATAGGCAGAACAGTGGAGGAGACCATTAAAGAATCCAAACAGCGTTTCACATGCGAACCATGTTGCTGTAAAAAAAATGTATGTAAAATACAAATAACCTTATCCTCAATCGAAATTTAAAGTCGTGACAAACAACACTCAATAATAAATACACAATATTACATTTTCAAGTCAGCGAATGAAAAAAGACACATGCATCCTAAGGCATCAACAGATACGCCATATATCGTAGTTAGTTTTATTTGAGTTCACAAAACTCATCTTTTTTTACAACTCTCACCTAGTGAATTAGAAGTGCGAAAGCGCAGTTACACTGGTTGACTTTTGACATTTCTTCTTAGACGTATTTTTTACACTGTGAAACATGTAATGTTTGATATTATACAGATATACATTTGTGTAGATGAATACAGTGAATGAAACAATGAAATTGTCTCGAATGCATGTACACCCGTTGTTTTGGCACGTACAACCACAGCAATTTATACATACGTATCGTATTTATTTTACACGGGCGATTCCTAGAAATGATTTGTGTTAGCGTATACATTAATATAAGTTCACACACTTAGATTGTTATAAGACGAATGTGAACAGCAATGTGTCCCATCTGGCAGAGTAAATGTTACGCAGTCATGATATAGGGTTTGGTGTGTTTTATTTTTTAAGGAGCAAAATCTTAACGACGCCGTCGAAAATCTTGTCATAATAGTGCAATGATCCAAATTAAGTCAACGGAATTCGCAACAAAGTGCGTCTGATCTTATATTCCCACAGGAGCTTGTTAATTCACAAAACCTGAAGAGGACACTCCTCCGCCGCAATGACGTCACGGCTAGGAAATGCATACAACTCTTAGATTAATACAATCCAGCGTTCGTTATAGGTTACAAGCGACGTATACAACTCATGTACAATACACTGTGAAATATAATATTTGAAGACGCATCCCTCAGTGAATGGGCGCTTTAGTTTATCGTCATTATCAATATCCCGAGGAGGTTTCATATTTTCATTCTCAATCGTCAATTCAACACGACAAAATGTATTATACGCACAGAACTTTCAAAGGCCGTTATTTGCGTATTTGTTAATCATAGAATGAAATGAAAACGCACAGAAGCTTACTAGCGCACGGCAAACCCCCTAGAGCAAGTACAATGCGCGAGAAGTGAAAACACTTCATCACAACTCCAAATCAGGGAATTGGTCACCAGAGAGCAAATGTCATTGATAATTACAATTTAACATGAGTGGAGATAGAGGGTCCTGTCTATATCCCAGTTGTCCATGATAAAGCACGCTTAAGCTACTGGTTAGTATCCCAAAACATGTATGGCCAAATTTTAAGAAAAAAAGATAGTTGGAGAATTATTATAGGTGGATGACAAATACGTCTGGGTAAGTAAGTAAAGTTATACCTGGACTTGTGAGGTTGCCTAGGTAACAATGGTGTAGAATTCATACATGAAATCTTGAAATTGTTTGATATAATAGGCAAATTCAAACGTAACTGAGAACAAATGCACTTAGCTAACAACGATCTTGCAAATGAACGTTCAGAAAGGTTATCTTAATGCTTGTGTCGCTATCTCGGAGAATGGATAATTGCCTGAAAGGGCACCCTAGCAAAGACATTTGGAAAACAATTACAGCGAGCAAGTCGCTGAGTGAAATTATACGCAGTGATTTTCCCAAAGCGATACAACTATTCCTGATCGCAAGTAATTGAGACTTAGTCACACCTGTAGAGGTATCTAATCACGATCTGGATTGCGTTTCCAGACACTATAGATCTTCTCAAATGAAGTGATTTTTAATCTAACTGAAAATTTTGATTTAACTAAGTGGCCATATGACGGAGCTAATTAACATGATAGGGGAGTTTAACAAATGTTCTAGATTGAGGGATATTAAGAAAATCCAGGCGGTTCGGGGTTAAATGACTCACGTCTCTCACCAAAATAGTGGGAAAATACTTCTTTCATAACCCAAAAGGAAATAGAAAAATAAATATTAACAGAGCTAATTTGAAAACTGAAAATTTGAAAAAACTACAAAAAGCTCAAAACATTAAGTATAAATTCTTATGGGAAAGGAGAGACAAGGTTGCTCGAAAAACAATGATGGGGAGGGCAAGGGGGATTGGGGTGCCAGATCTTCATATCATGAAAAACAACATAGGCTACTATGGGTAAAAAAAGTAAAAGAAAATGTGAATCCAGACAAGATTCATCCATATAAGTTATTTATTGAAAAACAGCGTGAGAGCATAATGGAAAACATCATCTTCAAATGCAGTTACAAAACAAAACTATTACCGATCAACTGTACAGACTTCCTGTGGGAATGCTTTGAAACTTGGGGGAGTGAAAGCTAATAAGTACCATACAGATATAAATCAGATTGTCTGGAAAAATGAAAATATTAAAATAGGGGGAACCCCATATTTGTATAGGGATTCATCCGCAAAAGATATAAAAAGGGTGTCAGATTTGTTGGATGAACAAGGTATTGTACCATGGGGAACAATATCACATGGGGATTTTTTGTTAATTCAAAAACTGAAATGAATATGTCTCGTAGATGCCATTCCAGAAAATGTGAAGCATAGAAACCAAGGTACTGATGACACATGTCTATCAATATCAAGAATTCAATCACCAGTTGAATTGGTTTCAAAGCAGAGTATAAAAAATGATCTAAAAAGTAGAGGTTTTTTTTCCCCCGGTGAGTTAGAAGAAAATTGAAGGGATGTTGATCCTAGACTTTATAGATTGGAAGAAAATGTATAAATTAATGATGAAAATGTCAGTTGATAGTAAATTCGGGGAATTCCAGTTTAAATTCTGCATAACATTGTTTACACTAATAATAAACTTCATAAAATAAATCCAGAAAAAAATCCCCACAGAGATGTGCACATTTTGTCATGAAAACCCTGAAAACATTGAACATCTTTCCTATGAATGTGAATATACTGTTGTCCTCTGGAGAGATCTGTTGTTTAGTTGGGGAAAACCATTAAAATTAATTAATCCACCAAGTAGAATATGTCTGATACTCTCAGATCTAGATGAATCACTGATAGTAAATTTTATTTTACTAACACGAAAACATATTTATCATGATTGTGAAATGAATTACATGAAACCCAACTTTAAGGATTTGTTGCCATATATAAAGAGAGTTGCAAAAACAACTTGAAACAACAAAATGCTACAACACCTAAGAAAATGAAACCCACTAATACCATTTATAACATACATTGGAGAAAAGCAAACTGAAAATAGTTATATAGAAATGTAATTTTTATAAAACTCTGGAATGTGAACATTTTTACTATATGTATAAGATTACCCAATAATATACGGTATGAACAGTTTAACTCTGAAAACGTATCCACTCTTCTCGCACTTGGTGATTGCTCTAGGGGCTTCACCATGCGATAGCAAGCTTCTGTGTATTTTCTTTTCACTCGTAAATACGTAAATAACTGCCTTTGACGGTTTTTTGCATGTAATGCATGTTGTCGTGTTGAATTGATGACCAAGAATGAAAATATGAAGCCTCCTCGGGATATTGAGAAAGCTTATGAATTGATGCGCCCATTTGTAGAGATCTATTCTGAGAGTTCTATACAATTTATAGTCGCGGCGACATCATTGCAGCGGTGTGTACTCGTTGTGCTTCGTGAGTTACCAAAAATGGACGCACTGCGCTGCGAATTCTGATGACTTAAATTAGATCATTGTGCTATATAATAATGAGAACATTTTCGACGGTGTCGTTAGCATTTTGATTCTTCAAAAATGAAACCCACCACACCGTATATTGCGACTGACTGCCAATGGTGTATTTACCACAGTGAAATAATGTCGGTGATATTTTTTCAATCTAGAATTCCGTTTATTCTGCCAGATGGGACAAATCATTTCTAACAATCGCGCATGTAAAATAGATGCATTTTCACATTGTTTGATTGTGTTCTGTTTCGTGGAATATTAATATAGACCGATGTATGTTACCAAGAATTTTTAGCGATGTTTGTATATTTCGGCGTACGAATATCAGAAATGTTTCTAAAGTAATTTAGTCTCAAACCTTCTTTCAGGCGTCTCAAAATAAACGACTTTTCAATAATCTGACACATGTCATCAGCATGTCACAAGACGCAATGTGGATAATTTTTAGTATTTATAACTTGTTCAAATAGGTTTGTTTGTTAATGCATATTAGAAAGTCAATCTTTGATTTATATTAAAAAAATTAAAATGTCATAAAATCAAACATCACACATAGCGGTATTAAATATTTCAATAACATAACAAAAACAGTACATGTTTCATCTTTATTTTTTTGTAATTCTGTAGCTCAGTGTATCTTTCCGACTGTTGATCAGTGTATGCCACTTAGGGGCACGATCATGTATGTAACTATTTACGTTTAACTTTTGCGATTTCGGATTTTTGTATTCTGTGAATTACTCTGGAAGTGGGCACCGTGTCTTGGTATAATACTGTTGGACTGGTATATGTTAACAAATGTTAGATTTGTCAAGTATTGACATTAACATATAAAGTGAATTACAGAGGAACTGTGTTAAAACTTGTAGCACAATTTTCCTTCTACAAAAATGCCTCGCTGAAGCAGATAGCTTTGCCAATTCAATAACACCAAAATGTGAAATGAGCCGATTCGTAATGGTCGAATAAATCAGAAATTGACTTGATCAATCAAATTAACTCCGTTAATATAATGTATATACGTATGTATATTCATTAGTAATTATTGGTGGTGGAAAATCGCAAACTTTCGTATATTTTACAGAAATAAAATGCTGGTGATGCCAAAAGCTGAATGTAGGTAGGTATCCCCATTCAGGTGCTTACCCGTGCATTACTTACAGATTAAATATATTTTCTTAATTGAACACAACCAATTCCGTTTGTACACATGAACACTGTGACTGTACGCATATAATATTGAATTGTCTTTAATACACCAGGTCTGGTAGACGCACTTAACTAAAATACTCCTGCAGTCCCTATGTCGTTCAACATCGGAACGATTGCGCAACAACGAGTACAATATTCGACTAACAAAACCTGATCGTGTTGGTATAAATGCGTGCACGTGGCCCTTAAATTGTTCACATGATATTTATGTATTAAGCTTGTAGTAGAGTGTTTTGGCACATCAAGCAAAATATTTTATAGAGACTTTTGGAACCCGATAATGTAATAAATTCCTGATAATTTTCCATTAACCGATACTGTAACACGAATTAGCCGATACTGTAACACGAATTAGCCAATAATGTAACACGAATTAGCCGATAATGTAATAAAAACCGATAATAACAACAAACAACCAATAGTGGAACAAAAAAGGCAACCGATAATGTAACAAAAAATAACCGATAATGTAACCAAAAAAAATGATAATGTAATATTTTTTTTTTCCAACTGATAACGTAACAAGATGACTACCGATAATGTAATAATATGTATGATTACAAACTTGAATCCAGAAATTGTTCGCATTTTCTAGATCTATTTAGAAAATACTGTATTTGGTATCATTTTAATTGTTTTAGCTGCAATTTCCTGACATTGACTGCTTATCTTCGTGTTCAAAGATTAGTTTCGGGGTTGCCATAAAATCACGCTGAATCATGATAATGTGGCCTCCCTAGAATTCGAAAATATGGAAGACCATTTTGAGAGGGTGTAAAAAGTTGTTAAATTTTGTGGAACGGCAAATTCAGTCTCCCGGACGAATGTTTATTGAAGTTGTGGTTATGATAATGATTGTTGTTAATCACTTGGATAGCCTATGTTTACAGAAATCCACATAGTTTATTCACAAGATAATTACACTAAACAATAGAAGCGTCAATGTGTATAACGGGTATAGCATTGACCTGAGCTACATAGGCATTCCGTAACGACGCAACTAATAATGGAGCTAATACGTAACCTGTTACGTATCATATCCATTTGCCATCCTCATATTGCTGAGCTACGATACCACTGCGATGACCACGCACGCTTAGGGTGCTGCCGTGCTCGCTATGTACTCCACGGCATTGCCACTTTCACTCTACGGTCCCAACGAATTGATGATATCACTAAATTACTGACTGGCGACATAAGTTCTTTTACTGATGCGTAGCAATAGTAAAGATAATACATTTGACGTTTTTTTTCGCGCAATTTCCAATTTATTTTGAAACATTCTTAGAAAGCGACACATCGAACGTTCAATTGAGTTTATCGCCTGCTACGTGAGTTCACGTTTGCGATAGGATAAGCATTTGGTATAATCATTGCGTTGGTGAGATTACAAGTCTAGTTAATAAGCTGCATAGTTTTATTTTTCATATATTGTTTTCTGCATATGGCCCGAGATCGATTCTTTTTTTTTTCGATGAGATAGTTGTTGGATGTCTACTAACTTTATACTTCACCTTACTGAGACGGACCATAAGGAAACATTGAAGCCACCTTTTGGAATTGTTGACATGATGAAAAGAAATTTACATACATGTGAATATCAATAAATATAAACGTGTTCGTCTCTGTGACAACCAAACATGCCAAAATAAATCGCCGATGTAATGGCAAACCCATGACTTTTGGAAACTTTGTTGATATTGTGTTACATTGTTTTTTGTGTGATATGAACCCCCCCCCCCACACACACACACACACTCAAACTCAGCCGTTCTTACAAAACGTCATATCGACGTGTCGGAATTATTAATAGTTCTATTTTACTATGAATAAGCGGACATTTATTCGTATGTTACTACTAGTTAAAGCATTTCTCGTCTTTCTGAAGACAGGAAATTTTACTCATGATCGCACTTACAACATCTCTTACCATGGAAGCAGGAAGGGGTAAATACATTTATATTCCCATCAATCAATATACACAAGAAAATGACACAAAAAATACTCTTATCGGAAATGTTGATCTACGACCAAACATCGATAGAGCGTCTTCATGTTGATATGAACTACTTTGCTCAAATTACCATAACACTGTTTATTTTGACTAGCATTTAATTCGATGTTTGAGCATTTTCATTGCGTTTTAAGTTCACGAATTTGGCAGAGAAACAAGGAGTAACATGTTCACATGAATTTAATTTAGCGGTTTTTACTTACTAGTGAAAATAGCGAAATTAAAAACCAGTGGAAAATTAAACTTCACAGTACTTTACACTTTTAAATGTTCCTAATTTATTTGTTCATACATTCAGGATATATATTTGAGTACGAGATTAACGTTTTAGTTTTCTAATAACCTCTTTTTTTACCTATGTATCCTACGTGTTTTGGATAATACAATAAACGATCCTATTGCCAGTGACAATAATCACGAGAAAATATGTAATGTTTATGACGGTAAGGAATAATAAAAGTATATTTAGGCGAATGATAATTTAAATGTTGATACGATTAGGAAGCTTCCTATCCTCGTTTTCTAATTTAACTTGGGGTCCCAATTATTTAGATCTATTTATTTTAACACTCAACAGGAAGTCATTATTTGTAGTGTTCACGCTACACGAAGTGAGGGCATACATTTCACTCTTTTTAAGTATGATTATTACACTCACGGTTATGAAACAATACCAAAGCAAATCCAGAAAGTGGTGATTGCAGAAACAAAGAACACAGAGTCTCATCGTCAGTTATTTTTTTCTCGAGAACAATGAATCTTGATGTTGCTATCTTGATTGTCATGTCGGAAATGGCACACCGAAATGAATGGTTATGAATATAATAGTAAACCTTCCAAATGAGCTAAGCGTTCACGCACATTTAGCCCGTGCATCTAGATCGGGTCTTAAAAACTTAGCATTCTTAT